TGTGAACTGGGACACTTTCTAAATCTAAGACTGCAGGTGGACACAACTAGTCATTTGGTTTAGAAGAAAAATAGCTGAGTTCCCATTCCCAAATTTTCCCTGCACAGAGAGTCCCAAATTATAACCACCACTAACCTATTTATAATTCTTCTCTCCTTGGATACCACTGTCATTTTTAATTTAAAGTGCCAATATTTTAAACTATTATTTATTAAACATATTTTTGTTTATAAATACCCAACTTTTGTTTGGATAAACATTTTTTTCTTAGTTCTCAGGATAAAATCCTTGGTTTTATCTTGTCATATTACCTAAAACTTAATTTCCAACTGTATTCTTTTACTGAATGTTTTTACTCACTTTGAAATACATTGTAAGTTTTACCTCCTTCATAGTCCTAGCTTTTTATACGAATTATGATGAATCTTCTAGTCCCAGTATTTCTCTAGATTTCCCCAGTCCACAAATCAGTTGATTGTAGAACTGTAAACTATTCCAATATTTCTGCTTCGTAAAGTTAAAAAGGTACTGATTTTATATTTTCTCCTTTTCACTTCCTTTCCATAGGGTGCTAGGAGAGGAAGCTTCTGCCTTTACCAGATCTGTAGTGATTTCTGGCATTTATTTCCAATTCTCCATAAAGGATTAGACCAGAGAGAATATGGGGACATGGAGGAGTGTAATTTGTTACTTACCACTGATGCTATCACAGTGAGAAAGAGAATTTACAGGGCGTTGTTATCTAGGAGCCCATTTTGAATAAACAAACTCAAATGCACCTTTTGTGCATGTGTACGGTCTTCATAAGGATTTTTTTCTTTTTCTTTTTTTTTTTTTTTTTAACGTATAATACAGTTTGCTCCCAAATTTAGGCAAGGACTGTCTCTCCTGGCTGAAATTTCTGTAGATTTCATTTATACATATTTTTCTAATTATATTTACAGAAAAAGATTAACTTCCAGAGCAAATGGGAGTGAGTGGGTGATGTTTAATAGAGTGTTGAGCAATATTTTTTAACTTACTGGGTCAAATCCTCACTATTTTTCTGTGTTCACTAACTCTTGGGATGAATAATGAAAAGTATTTCATAGTTCTGCTTGTTTCCACTCTTGCTTTTGATTTCTTTCCTCAAGGTTTGGCTAACCTGCACTGCACTGCTTTTTCCAAATTACTTTTTTTTTTTTTTAAAGATTTCTATTTCTACTGGCATTACAGCCTTAATGCCTCCCCCCTTTTGAGTTGGAGCTTTTTCCTCTGATCAATATTTCCTGTGTAACATCTCCCTGGTGATTACACATGTCTTCCCAATTTTTGCTACTATAAAAAGGAACTCAGTAGTGATCTCTCCCCCACATGCGCTTTTTGTTTCCCATT